CGATTATTTCATAATTTTTTTTTCATAAATTACAAAGGACGATGCTTTCATACAACACCAAGCCTCACAAAAAAATTAAACTGACAGTACATAATTTTAAATTAAAACATTTTCAGTTTAGGAAACAACGAAAGTAGTTTTTTTATTTAAAAAAATAATGAATCAAAACAATTACGAAGTTTGCTCTTTTGGTTTACCAATGATTCAATTCTCCACAGGATATGATGTAGTCCATGAAACGGAGATGGAGAAACGTGAGAGTTAGTTCAAACGCCGCGGGAGTGATGCAGCTGCTGTCTGATCGTCCCTCGGGCGTGGAGAGCTCAAACGCGGCAGTGAACGGAGAAGAGGGATGTAGGTGGGGGATGAGAAAACGTCGGTGATGGCAGTACTATACGATACGAGCCATACGAGAGTGCTTCACTGCTCCGCGTATAACTGGAAATGAAAGGGCAATACAGCCGATGAGCGATAATTCATTCGAGAATCGAGCTGGCCAGCTGAACCCAATCGATCCTCTCTACGAACGCTCCTCCGAGAAATAAACATCAATAGTTCAAGAACACCAGTATACAACATCCTAACAACGTTGTATTAAAAACTACTCACCATACATGACACATCCAAGAATATTCCTCTCTTAATAAAAAAAATCCAAAAACGTTTAATTTTCAATTCATTTAAAATGAATTCTTTTAAATTATCTTTTATCCGGCGAAACAATTTTTATCTTTTTAGGATTGAAAAAGATTGAAAAGGATTCAAAATTTCTAATACTAATTTATGCTTTTTAATTCAAAAATAATGAAGCAATTTCTGTTCTTACAAAGAATTCGAAAGAATATAAAAGAATTCAAAAAAGTTCAATACTAACTTATACTTTTAAATCCTAAAATAATATTGTAATTTTCGTTCACTTGGAAGATTCAAAAGCATTAAGGAGAATTCAAAACATTTAATACTAACTAATTCTTCTTCATACTAAAATAATATTGTGATTTTGTTCTCCCTGAGAGCTTAAAAGAATAGAGGAGAATTCAAAAACGTTTAATACAAACTAATTCTTTTCAATTCTTAAATAATATTGTAATTTTGTTCTACCGGAGAATTTAAAAGAATAGGAGAGACTTTTGAAATGTTTAATTCTAACTAATTCTTTTGAATTCTTAAATAATATTGTAGCTCGAAAATAGCGGGAAGTTTCAGGGGTAGCCTGTAGGGTCAACCTTCTTTTCTAATTTTTTATTCTACCGCGTATGATTTTTTCTTTACTTTTTAAACTTCGGATTTTTATTATTTAACTACGAGCCGGTTGATATTTTTTTCGGAAATAATTGTAGAACCATGTTTTCAATAAGAATACAAAAATTTCGAATTTTCTGTCATTGTGCTTATCGCATGACAACTACCTTAAGGGTTGATTATAAGGAGACAGATGATTTTGCAATCGATCTCAAACATACCATTTGCAAAGAGTATTTGATTTTCTGCAAGAAATACATCGAGGTTAACTTAGTTCTACACGGTGGTATGGAAATTATAGAACAGAAAATGTGATCAATGTAAAAAATCTAAAGTAGCAATAATATACCTTTGATCATAATATTATTGGCAAATTCTCACAATAATTGTTTTTGTCGTACTAAATAATACTACTTAGCATATTATCTCCAAATAAAAAATTGCCAAAGGCTGACCAGTTGTTCCCGAGTACGAATATTAACTTTTTATAAATGACAAATATTTAACCTGTTATCAATTACTCTTGTTTGGAAAGAAATTGATCAGGGATTTTTTAACGATAACGTTAAATCACTGTCAACTAAAACAAAAAAAAAATTTTTAAATACCTTTTACTTCACTCTGTCCCTCTATTACTTTGTGCTGGAGATTATGGTTTAGCTGCTCGATATTTTTTATTTTGTTCTCTTGTCTTATCTGATTAGCTTTTAAATCTTTAATGGTTTTTTCATTGATGGCAAGCTGATCTTCTAACTTCTGCTTTTCGGCTTTTAGCTTTTTCATAACAATTTCCCAATGGAAGTCTTCAATTGGATCATCATCTTTATTCTAAACAATTCAATAATTGTATTTAATAATTGTATTAACTAGCAGTTTGTTTGTTGATTGTAGGTAGCATTTTTCATAATCTCAAATGAGAAATTGTTAAAACATTCCAGCCATTTAAAAGAAAAAATGACTATCTATTAGCGTGCAACAAAAATAGCTCTGTACGAATAATGAAGTAAAAGGACCTGTTTCTTAACACCAATAAATAATTTAAATATTATTCAATATTAACCAATAAATTTAATTATGCTCTTAATAACAGCAATGATAGTACAGCGATAGTGTTAGCAATTCGATTTATAAGATAATAAAAGCATTTTTCATAACGTCAAGAATTTCTTCTAAATTTAATAAATTATTATTGATTTCTTGAATTCTAGCCTTAATAGTTTTAAAAAAATCACAAAATTATGAAAAAATTTTCTTGACGTCTTACTCACTTTCAATGGTATTGTTAAAATAAATACAAAAATTCATATTTATGAGAGATTACTATTTTAGGATCTAATAAATATTTATTACTTCTACAAATAATTTATTTTACAATAAAGAATGAATTTCTTCTACTTTTTTTTTTCATCTAATTAAAGTGGTTTAATTTGACACCCATGAAAAGCAAGCGGGTAATGTGTCGTTTACTTTTCTTAGATTTATAAAAATTTAGAACATGCTTTCAATAAGAAATAATTGTGTCACGAACGGAGTGAGTGATGGGCGCAAGGAATATGAAATAGAAATCTCAAATATCCGAACGTTATCACTTTGTCCGTTCGGGAGCTAAATTAAAAATTGCGTTGGAGTGTGGAGCGGTACACAAGCTCGAACGTTATCTCTAAGTGTTAACTTAGAGAGAGTAAGGATGATGGATCCTGCTGACTTCGGTCACGAGTAACCTATTCTATTGTTTAGTTGTAACTTTATTTTGTAAAGGAGATCTTATTTTATTTTAAAAGTAAAAGTGAAATAATCGACTTGTTTATTTGTTTGAATTTATTGAGAAAAACAAGTAAAAGTGTTACAAATTTGGGTTTACAAAATGGTTAATAAAAATAGAGATAAAAAGACCACAAAAGTTAGAAAAGAAATAATGTCTTAAAAGTAGATAATGTTTTGGGCTTACCCTGGAAGTCTGCTCTTTAGTAGAGAGGCTCAAATTTAATGGGCCCTTTCACCTTCTATGGGTAGGTTCCACTATCGAAATACCGTATCTCGTGTATCACGGAGAAATTGAGTAATTACAAATAATGAATTAATCTTCGCGACTTTAAGCGCAAAACTTAACACTAATCGACGCTCAACGGCCGAAACAATATGCTTCGCGATTCTCGCGGAAAAATCGACGCTCAACGGCGGAATAATCAAAAATCGACGCTCAACGGCGGAAAATAATAAAAAGAAGAAAACGGAATATAACTATGGCAAATATCGAATGAATTTACCGTGTTAGTGCTACTGAATGTAACCTAACCACGAGCAAGGCACTGTCTCGTGTATCACGGAGTACTTTGTGCTTCCGAAGAATTTGATGCCCGGAGCCGACCGACGCGGAGCTAACCAGTGGTATCCTGGTCGAAATCGAACTGCCAAAAAATGATTTTACGAGAAATTGTAAATTAAAAATTAAACTAATTATAACTAATTTTCTGGACAAAATTTTCACAAATAGTTCGAAGCAGGGTGCGAACTACGTATGTCACACCTCCATGCTTGAAATTTACCCTTTTCCAAGAGGGTTTACAATTTATAATATGCTTTTTATAAATAAGTATTTTATAGTCTGTTCGAAGCGTGCTCTTGAATAGATATTGAAAATTTTGGAACCTAGAATTAATTAAGATAAAGTGAAATCTTCCGGACCCTGATCCCCTTTCTAGTGAAAGTTAGTTATGTGGTCCCTTATGAACATCCTCAATCATATAAATAAATGAAGATGTTCAGTATCAATATCAGTTTTTATCCAAACTTTACTAAGATGTGTCGTTCTGGATCGTCTGTTTCGAGTGCGGGTAGTGAATCATCGTATGAATGGAGCTGGGTAAGTAATTCTGATCCAATCTTCTATATTTATGATGATGGGTTTGAATTCGAGGACTTCGAATGGGTCCTAAGGACAGCTCCAGAAAGGCAACCCATTTACTGCGGACAAGAACTGACCTTTTTGCAGGTAAAGACACATATATTTCATCTATCATATGTGTTATTGCGGATTTTGTTTTATTTCCAGTGGTTCCTTCTGAAGTTCCCAAACGAAGCGTTCACTTTACTGTCCATGGCTCCTGCAGCTACTCAGGTGAGTTTGAGTAAAGTCTTTGAAAGAGTGTACACTCGGAGGACTTTATCTTTTAGCAACTGGTGCTGGCAAGAGGCAGGGCCTGAAATTGATTTATTGTTTGGTCGTGGCGATGGTCTGGAGGAACCGTCCTGGGTGTTTGCATCGGGAAGCCCCCTGCGTATTATTACGGGAACCAGGTTGGCTTCCGGGCGCTGGTTAGAAGCGGGGACCGTTGTCCGGTTAGACTGAATTTAATGGTGTTACAATGTACCTTTAGAGAGATAATAAATAAATGAAAATACAGAAGTGAGGAGATAAGATCCTTCTTTTCAACTCCAAGTGCACCTTCCGAACATAACTGGTTTTGATTTAGAGATAAAAATTTTTACGACTTTTCTTAGATCGTACATGTTTTAGCTTTTCTTTAAAATTGCTTAGTAACTAAGTTTTTAACCTACTTAATTTTTATAAGTTTTTTTTTTTTTTTTCAATAATATTTTTGGAGTTATCCCTTCCTTCACCCTGAGATGAACTGTTTTACAACGGATCACAAGTTCATTAGATCCGTCAGTAAGTTCTTCGATTTTGTGAGTGAAGTTACTTTTGATCGTGAGTAGTTTTTTTTTTTTTTTTTTTGTTTTTTTTTTTTTTTTTCGTGATGGAGAACTTCTTCGATCTAGACGACATGCTAATCCCAGTGGTAGCTGATGTTGATTCCGATGCAGAAACTGAGGTGGATGATGATTTGCCAGGTCCAGTAGGGGACATAGAGTCTGATGATTCGGGATACGATAATGACGTTGAAGCACGGTTTGATGGGCCGGCGACGTTCAGAAATTGGTTCGGCCTGCATTCTCGAATCGCCGAAGCTAATCCAAATCGCCGGATTGGACGTATTTACAGTTTATATGTAGATGAAGAGCTATGTGTCGAAAGATTTCGACATGCAGCCACTCTTCCTGCGGGACGGCATCTATTAGATTTGGAGTTTGTGCCCCAAATCCGTCAAGAGGGCTTTCTTTTTATGGATCCTTTGTTGGTGTTGTTGGGTGATCTGGATTCTCGTGAAGCAGTATGGATCTTCAATTACCTTCCATGGCAACATCGAGAATTTAGAGGACGTTCTTTACTGAGGGTAAGTAACATATAACTATTAATTTCATTGTTAGGTTGCATAGGAGAAATAGAGAGAAAAAAAAGTATTTTCTTTTTCTCAGGGGCTGATCGGATTAGGCAGTCGTCTTAGAGCATCTATCCGAACGGCTCCACCACGGATAGTAGCAGTGTTAGAATGGTTTATGATGGCGTTGGAGATTGATGACGAATAATAGCATATGGTTCATAAAATATAAAATATAAAATTTTATGTACTAATTTATGTATTTCGCATTTTTATGTTTCCTTCTTAAATAAATTCCTATTTATTATATAATATATATATTTTTTTTTTTTTTTTTTTTCAATCATCGAAAGCATCGAGATGCATTCCTAGATCCTTTTCTATCTCCATTTCGTGGTTTAGGAAAACTAGGGTGCATTTTTCGCACGATACTGCCGGATTAACTATTAACATAGTTTTATGGCAAATCGAGCAATATTCCTCTGGTACATCAATATTGATCTTGTGGAAATAACGTTGCATTCGATAAGTTTCTCTATCAACTTGCGGTAACATAATGTAGCAAAACGTACATACTATCTCCTCAATTGTTGATAATTTAGGAGAAAAACGAATAAAAATTCGATTAAATCCTAGAATAAGTTTAGAGCACGTATAGTTATGAAAATGTTCGAAGATTTCTGGATACTTGGATGGGTCGATTGGATAGTTGCCTAATTCACGCTTATCGACTGATTCTTTGCATCCTTTACAATCCTTGCCCCCACACATTCTGTTTTAATCTCTCCTCCTGAAAGGAAAGCAAGTAGTTAAATACTAGAAGCTGAAGATGCCAGTGGCCCCTGAAACCAGACTTTTCTAACGGCAGATGGAGTATCGTAAATTATTTCATCTGATTTCGAGAAACTCAGGTAAGTATTTGTGGTAGGTTCGGGTAATGGGGGTTGTATCTCCTCCATGCTTAGAGAGTTGTACATTGCCTGGGTCTTTCTTTTCCGTAGTAATAGTATTACACCGATGGAAACATTTAGGATAAAAAGCATGGTGAGAAGACTGTAGAATATATAAGTACGAAAGAAGACTTCGACCGGTTTCTCGATAGTCTTCAAAATGCCCAATATTGCTTGATGCAAATCGAAGTCATATCTCAAAACTCCATAGTTGTTGACTCTTGGCGTATCGAAATTTCTTGTCCTGGCTAATGGTATAAATGTGTGCAATTCGGGAACGGTGTTGGCTACTTGTAATTTGAAATTAAAAATATTGAGTATTTTCAGTTTGTTCTTGACTGAATAACTGCACCAAGTTTGCGGTAAACACACATCCTGGACTGATTTTAAGTAGTCCTGTGCCTGAAAGCGTGGTATAAGAAGTTCTACCGTTGCAAGTTATAATTATTGATTCCGTTTCAGGTAGTGAGTATATCCATCCTGGAGTGGTGGTTAATTGTTTCCAGTAGGATTGGTGTGCTTGACTCATTCTTATGTCGCACGTTAGTGCGTTAAAATGAGGTTGATTGTTCAGTAATGAAATTTCACAAGCAGGATCAATAGTTGAGTCGTATAAAGGAAAAATAAATGGGCACAGAAGGAAATCAGCAACTGGAGTACACTGTTTTATTTCATTCTCCGTTAGGAGGGCGTACCAATATCTGTTCATACAGGTGAGCAGGTAATCTGTTCGAGGTTGTATGTAGGCAGAGGCTTTAGTGTTTTTGCCGAATGTTTGTGAAACAGGATAGGGGTGAAGGTTATATAAATTATAGAGTTTAGAATCTAACATAGGTATTGTTATAAATATTAATATCCTATTCTCATAATATATAAATTCTAATTTAGATACTTTCAGTAAATCTTTAAAAGTAAATTTTTCGAGTAATATAGGTAATATTCTCCCTTGCTTAGTTTTAACCATTCCTTCAGCTATAGTAATGATTTTACTAGGGCTTATTATACCTGGGTAGAGTTGTCCTACTCTAGCCAGTTGTATACCCATCATTATCTCTTTCAGTGTGTCTAGATAGTTATCGAATAATTTTCGGACATGAATAGACCATGTTTTAATTTTATCTAGAAAAACTGAAAGAGTTTTCGAATTGGAAGTTGAGGTTGGGTGATTGATTATAAGATTACTCAATTTTATGCAATTTGATTGTCTCTCTCTTATAGCTTCGAAAGTATCATATGGAATTGAGTTTATAAATTGAGTATTCTCATTTAAGAGCAAAGTTTTATTGTTTTGTGTATGATGACTCGAATTTTCTGGCAAGTTATAATTGTCTATTTTTCTAAAGTAAGATTCAAATTTCATATTATCAGAAACTGTAAATGTTGGTGTTGAGTCTTTAGTGGAAATATCTAATGCTCTTAGTTCATCAAAAATCTTAGCAATATATAAGTCTATTTCCGAGTTTAAATATTCGAAGTTGTGACGATCTATGATTTGGTTGCGTATATCGTGTAGTAAGTGTGTTTCGCAATTGTTATAGACTAAAGAAGCTTTCAATTGCGGAAGGTTTGGTCTATAAAGCAAAAGATCAATTGGAAAAAGTGAAGATGCCACCTTCCAATGACCTTGATTAAATCGAATTTTGTTTACTTCTTCAAATAAAAGACCGGATTGTAAAGGTGTTGTTTGTATTTTATTATTATCGCTGGTGACTACCACAGGTAGTAAAACGAAGAATGGTAAAATTCCTAGGAGCACTTTCATCTTTTCTGACGGGATACTTTCCTGATTAAAACAAATATTAGTTCTTATTAGCTTAATAATAAGAGTAATAGTTTTAGGAGTTCATGCATATAGGTGGATTAATGATGTTAATTATGAACTTTGATTATTAGTACCCCTTAAAGGTATAGCTTGTGCCTCTACGTCTACATTGCGTTCATTATGACGTGTATGCATTAAAAGATTCGTTAAGGAATCCCATAGAGCACCAAGTAACCATACACTACAACCATAAACAGAATGTAAGGCATAACCATGTACTATAGTATCGATAGAGAATTTTACGATCTTGAAAGTGATATAAGCTCCAAAAAGAGTAACGCTAAAAGTACCAACCGAATTAAAGAAATTCCAAACTTTTCCCCATGCATGATTAAGGACATTTTTAATTGTTTCTTCGTCAATGATGGTGTTGAATTTGATATTTTGATTGGCAATCATTTGACCTGTCGCGTCACGAGCAATGGTGTTTAAAATAGCGCTTCGTTCAATAGGGAACATCATGTGATTTCTAAGGTTTTTTAAATCACTGTCTGAGTAAACACCACCAGAGGCGAGGCTTTTAGCGTAGGTGTAGGTCCAGGTGTAGTTTAAAGTTGGACTTAATCTTTGAGGCTCAGCTACAGGGGACACAGCGGGATTTAGTTGAATCCATGAGTCGTTAAAACGATACATCAGGGTATATAGGGGGTTACAATTTACTTGTGTACCCGTTTTAGTCATAACATGAGTTCGAGGTAACATAAAATAGGATTCTTTACCTCTAGAAATAGGTAATTCATGATAGCATTCTTTTGTATCTCTACGTCTAACCTCTACCGCAATACATTTTGCAATCCGAATTACCTCTCCAGCTACATGAGCGATGTAACCGGGTTGGGCCATAAACTGATATGCAAATTCGTCTGGAGCGATGGAAGCTGTAGTTAAAGCATTTAATAAGACTTTCTTTTCTAATTCACATTGTTGTTGAAATAACTGATTGTATAATATTATCATTTCTCTTTTAAGATGATGTTCAAAATAAACAAATTTTGCGTTAACGTAAGTGAATAAGTCCATATTTTTAATAGAGACGCCCTGTTTACGAGGTATAAATTCACTAGTTTCAGAATCTAAAATGAATGATTTAGGATGAATAGTTTTAATTAGTAAAGTTTGACAATTTGAATAAAAACCTTTAGTGGTTAGAGCGAACGCGTAGCCTTCAGATTCTACCATATAAAGAGTTTCTTCGGTCGAATTTAATTTTGACTTAATTTTTGTAGCTCTACCTTCGTATAATAAACCGAATTTACGATGACCGCAGTCATCTTCGGGTAATAAATTCCAATAAACATTACTACCGTCCGAGTCTATGCATTCTGCTCTTTGATATGGGCATCTTACTCCAGTATTTAAAATAATTTTATAATCATCCATACTAACTGTCGCGTAGTAATCTTGAATGGTGAGTGTAGTATAGCCAGTTACCGTAACCTTGTTCCAAGATCCAAAAGCATCGGTATACGTACCTCTTTGGCAGACGCCGTCTACCGAGTATGCGCCTTGGAAGGTTACTGGTCGGGTAGTTGTTGAATTAGGTTTTAGGTCTAAGTGTGTACCGTGAAAATAGAAAACTCCACTATTATGAATTCGGTTACATTCATCTACCCCCAATTCGTGTATATATTCGATATCGCCATTAATTACACCAAAAAGATGGCTTAACTCTCCACAATAACGAATAATACGACGAACCTTGAGTTTACATTGAATGATCTTAATCATAGAAAAGTCAAGGGTCTGTAAAAGTTGTACGTTGCTGTGTGTAATAACCGGTTTAGGTGGTGGAATATTACAATCTTTAACGTCCAATAAAGAAAGCGTAGTGATATTTAGAAAGGGAGTACTACAGTCGAAAGCTATAAAACCAGAGATCGGCTGCAGGAGAGAGCTTACTAAAATGGCTAGTTGAATGGCTCCCATCATCACCCTGTGAGAATGAATATTTCTGGAATGTCTAATAAATATTAGTAGCAATATAATAATAAAAAAAAAAGGAAGGAAGGAAAAAGATGTTAATCGGAGTCTGTATCTGATAATCTAGATCTACAAGGTTTGAGTTTATCAACATGCTTGAGTAGACGTTTACCGTTTTCGTCTTCTATGATAGCGTTATGTTTATCGAAACGATTTGTAATAGTATAAGGCCCTCGATAGTGAGAGTCAAATTTTCCTTTCCTGGGTTCTTTAAGCGCGTAAACTTTATCACCGATTTCGAAAGGACATGGATTTAAATGCATGTCATAATATTTCTTTGCACGGTGTTTCGATTTAATTAAAGAACGAGCAGCGAAAGTTTTCATATCACTCATCCGGGTTATCAAATCATGTAAATATCTACCGTAAGTTTCACTTCTTTCGGATGTTGGAAAAGAGCTTGGAGCTCGGGCCTTTTTGCCATATAATAGTTGATAGGGGGTAAAATTAGTAGATTCATGCACAGAAGTGTTATATGAAAACATAGCAAAAGGTACAAGTTTATCCCAATCTTCATATTTATCCACATAATGTTTAATAAACTCTGCCAAAACAATATGGGTTCTTTCTAAGGAAGCGTTTCCTTGAGGATGGTAACTTGAAGTTGTTACATGTTTGATTTTAAATGTTTTAGCAAGGTGATGAAATACATTTCCAACAAAGGAACGACCCTGATCAGAGAGGATTACCCGAGGGGAACCATATTTGAGAATAAATTCCCGAGTTAATGCATCAGCGATCGTTTCAGCTTTTAAATTCGGTATTGGAACTGCAACACAAAATTTAGTAAGATTGTCTTGGATAGTTAAAATATGTTGATTACCATTAGGTGTCATAGGTAAAGGACCGACCGTGTCTATAGAGATTTTATCGAAGGACTCGGCAGGGGTGTCCGTAATTATCATAGGTTCTCGAGTTTTTACTCGTGTTAACTTTTGTTCCTGACAACTTTTACAAGTTCTCACGAACTCAGTTACGTCGTCTTTTAGATTAGGCCAATAAAAACGTTCTCGAATGCGTCGATACGTTTTAGTAATACCTTTATGACCACCTGTAAGGCTTTCATGGTATTCAGCGATTATGTCGGCTCGAGATTCTTCGACGGGTATTACTACATTTCCTCTACAAAAGGTAATAGCACAGTCACATTGACCTAATACTTCTTCAAATATTTCAGTAAACAAAGATTGACTGAGATTTTCTAACATGTCTCCATTTTTAGATATTCTTAGTGTTTTTAATTCATAATGATTAATAACATCTTTAAGGACCAATAATATATTTTTAAGTTCTGGAATAGTAGTTTCATCATAGTGTTTATTGGTAATTACTGCACTAAGAACTTTATGTTTTCCTTTAGGAGTTACTAAAATTTGCTGTACTTTAGGTTTCTTTAATTTAATATCTTGAGGGTTAATATAATCGGTATCAATTAATAATCTAGAAATTTGCGTTGTAAATTCACAATCTGCGGAAATGAAGTGTAAATAATTATCTCGGTAATATGTCAAATTTTCGTTAGTTGAATGTATTTCCAAAAGTTTAGGTTTTTCACGATATATATTTGGATAAAAGAGTTCATTAGTAATATTATGAGCGAGAGAGTTAGGGTTTTCAAAATTTTCAACTTGTTCCGACGGGAGTGAGGGGTCCGATGAAAATTCTTCAGGTATTTGGGGTAAAGAAGCGCGTGCCTGCTGTGGGGGACGATCATCTTCTGTCTCTGAATCGCCAATATGAGAAAGAGGTGTAGAATTTCCTAGTGGATGTTGAAAAGTGACCGGAGAAGACTTCCGATTTTTGTTGTCTTGTCCATTTGATGTTGTGGCTTGGTCTGCTTGTACATTGGGATCCCACCAATAAGGATCTTGGGAAGAAGATTCAGCCGAAACTTCGACTATTTTTTTATTCGGGGGTGGTGGAACTGAAGGATTTATTATGGTATTAGCAGATGAATCGCCTGTGTCATCTTCAACATCGAAGACAAAACGCAATGCATTTGTACGATTTTTCGCAGGAATGTTTTCCTGTTCGGAATCGGTTTCTACAATTGCATTACGCTTTTGCACAAGGTTAGGAAAAGCACTATTTCTTGCTCTAGGTTCTGGTAAAGGATCATCGGGAGGATCAGGAGGTTTTGGAGGGTCCACGGGGTTCGTGAATTTAAGCGGGCGTATTGATTTATTTGCAGGTTTAATTGTATCAGTTTTTTTTTTCACGGGGGTTCGTTGAATTCGGCTCTTCATTTGAAATGGAAGTAGTATGGGGCAACGAGAGCTAGACACAACAAACCCCCACTCCGCGGCCACTGGCGCCAGACCTTTTCCGCTCCCCGCCGTGAGGGGTCTCCCCCTGTGAAGGGGATCGCTTGGTAAATTTTTGGGCCTGAAGTTTTTCCTGTACGATCTGGTGGGGGAGGGGGGTAAGTTGTATGTGGATAGGGATTTACAATATGGGGTAATAGAGATGTAGGTCATAAATTAGTCATGGCATGGGTTAATGGGAAAAAGATGTAGGATTTTCTATTTATTTTTGAAGATGTGGGTTATTTTTAAAATGAAAACAAGTAAAATATTTCGTTTTTTTTTTTTATTTACCATATTTCTTCATTCTCTCAGTCATACTTATAAAATCATTTTCTGTAGTACTATTAGTAATACAACTATTAAAAATGTGTTTAATAATACGATTTATTTCTCGTAGTACAAAAAATAATAAAAATAGTAAAAATATAAGTAATACTGTTAAAAGGGATATAATTTTTAGTAACAATTGATTTATGTCTTCTATATTTATTATTAGTCAGCGATGTCTTTTCCCTCAGTTGCGCTATAGTATAGGGTGTAGCGAAGTGATAACTGACTATCAATTTCATTGATTATTCTCTGTGTTAGATCCTCGTGATGGTACAGTAGCTCCCAGAAGAAAGAAAAGCCGAGGTCTCCAAGATTTGATTTGAATGAAGGTGATCGTTCAGAGTATTTGTATAAATCGAGAAAATGTTTTTCAAAGTAATTCAATAGTGTAGAGGTATTTGGTGTTTCTCTGACGTTTAGTAGTAGGTTTTTTAAAATATATCTTGATATATTTTCTCCTATAGAGTTTATGTAGTCCAAGACAGGAAGTTGTTCAATGTAATTTATCCAATGATTTACACTAAAGTGTACCGCTAAAAGTGTAAATCATTGGATAAATTACATTGAACAACTTCCTGTCTTGGACTACATAAACTCTATAGGAGAAAATATATCAAGATATATTTCAAAAAACCTGCTACCAAACGTCAGAGAAACACCAAATACCTCTACACTATTGAATTACTTTGAAAAACATTTTCTCGATTTATACAAATACTCTGAACGATCACCTTCATTCAAATCAAATCTTGGAGACCTCGGCTTTTCTTTCTTCTGGGAGCTACTGTACCATCACGAGGATCTAACACAGAGAATAATCAACGAAATTGATAGCCAGTTATCACTTCGCTACACTCTATACTATAGCGCAACTGAGGGAAAAGACATCGCTGACTAATAATAAATATAGAAGACATAAATCAATTGTTACTAAAAATTATATCCCTTTTAACAGTATTACTTATATTTTTACTATTTTTATTATTTTTTGTACTACGAGAAATAAATCGTATTATTAAACACATTTTTAATAGTTGTATTACTAATAGTACTACAGAAAATGATTTTATAAGTATGACTGAGAGAATGAAGAAAAATGGTAAATAAA